ACGAAAATGGAAGAACAGAAACTTGAGTCCTGATCTCAGTGGTCAAATCACTTCAAAGTATTTTGAGAGGGCTGGGATGGAGGAGGGACCATACCTATCAAACCATGTTCGTAATTCATTATTAAAGTAAGAGGAAGAAAGAGGGGGAGAGAGAAAGAGAGAGAGAGAGAAACATCAATGTAGAGTCAAACATTGATCCACTGCCTCCTGCATGCCCCCTAATGGGGATCAAACCCACAACCTGGGCATTTCACCTGACAGAGAATCAAACTGGTGACCTCTCAATGCTTGGGACAAAGCTCAACCAACTAAGCCGCAGCAGCCAGTGAAAGGGCGAGGGCTACGCCCTCCATCTTGCCCCGAATCCTCCATTTTTGGGCAGCAGCCATGTGCTCAGCAAGAAGCTTCTTTCCGGAAGTATAACCAAGGGAAGTGCACGCCATAGATACGACCACATCCTGTGTAACGAGACACCGACTTGCGCCTGGCCAATCGGCAGGGCCCACAGTCCTCTCTCCTCCCCTTACTCCAACCCCCCTATTAAACCCCTGTTCCCATGGGGCTCTCGCGCTCTCTTGGCCGCTTGCCGCTGCGTCGGGGGCCCAAACTAGTTTGAATAAAGACTCTCTGCTTTTGCATCAGACTCGGCTGCCTCCCTGGTGGTCTATTGGGGATCTTGAAATCTGGGCATAACACCAGGACTCAAACCATTTTTTAAAAATAGGCAATGGAAAAAGTTCCCCACCATTTCTCAAGGAAAAATTATAAATTTCTAGAAATTGGAAGAGGGGAATCCTCACTTAGCTCCCCAAAATTTATATGTTGAAGTCCTACCTCCCAGTACCTCAGAATGTGACCTTATTTTGAAATAAGGCCATTGCAAATGTAAATAGCTATGATAAGGTCATTGGGGTGGACCTTAATCCAATATGAAGGTATCCTTATAAAAAGGGGAAATTTGGACACAGATACTAAAACAGAAAAAAAAAATGCCAAGTGCAGAAAGAGGCAGAGATCTGGTTGATGCTTTCGCACTAAAGGAACCTCAGAAGTTTACATCAACCTACTAGAACAGTGATGGCAAACCTATGACATGCGTGTCAGAGATGACAAACAAACTCATTTTTTGGGTTGATTTTTCTTTGTTAATTGGTATTTAAATATATAAAATAAATATCAAAAATATAAATCTTTGTTTAACTATGGTTGCAAATATAAAAAAAATTTTATATGTGACACAGCACCAGAGCTAAGTGAGGGTGTTGGAGTCCAACCCCAGCAGGTCCAGGGGTTCCCAAAGGTGTGGACAGAGTCGGCAAAGAAGGAATGACAGGGACACAGCGCTCAGTTGATCAGCAGCCTAGCCAGGTTCTCTAGCCAGGTTCTAGCCAGGTTCTGTCTTTATTTTCCTGTTACATCTGTATTTATAGCAGTTGATTGTAATCCTATCCATTCTATTCCAAAGGTTAGGACATTTGTTATCTCCATTCTAAGGTCACTACTCTATTGTTCTGTTAAGCTACAAGGAAGTAACTGAAGGAGATTATCCTAAGTAAAGATAACGTAGCTTAAGCGTGATTGTTCATAGTTAAAGTGATTAATTACCCACCTGGCACTTAGTTAAGGGGTTTTATTCCCTTAGTCCTATTAATTCCTAACTCCAGAGAAAAATCCCCACCTGGGGAAATAATCTTTCTTGGAGAGGTGACCTTGGTTAAAACACATAGCGCTAAGAAGGGGAGCAAACATATTAAGAACAGTATGCCATATACGCCAGGTCCCTTGAAACATATGCTGTGCCGATGTTTCTTGCCTGAAGCGACTGTGTCAAGCAACAAGGATGGACCAGCTTCTGGCATTAGGGTTTTTCAAAATGCTGACATGCCAAGCTCAAAAGGTTCGCCATCACTGCACTAGAAATTCAGGAAGAGGCATGGACCAGATTCCCCCTCAGAGGGCCCAGAAAAGGCGAACTCTGCTGACACCTTCATCTTGGACTTTTGGCCTCCAGAAAAGTGAGATAATACATTTTTGTTGTGTGGCTCAGTTAAGCATCATCCTGTGCACTAAACGGTTGCTGGTTTGATTCCTGGTCAGGGTACATGCCCAGGTTGCGGGCTCAATCCCTGGTCAGGGTGCATGTTGGAGGCAGCCGGTCAATGTTCTCTCTCACATTGATGTTTCTCTCTCTTCCCCCTCCCTTTCTCTCTCTCTTAAAAAACAACAACCCAAAAACAATAAAAATATATTTTAAAATGAAGAAATTTCTGTTGTGTGTGTGTCTCCCGGTTTGTGGCACTTTATTACAGCAGCCCTAGCAAGCTAACACACCATCCCTCTGTCACGATTTCCAGCCTCTCCAAATAAAGTCAACAATAAAAATCACCTGACTTAGTCAAAACTTTGCTGAGCTCAGGCATTGCTGACCAATACCTTTGACCCTCCTGGGGACTTTTGTAATCCCAGAGATGTTTATTAACCTAAAGCAAACTCCAGTCTAAGAAGAGGCCTCTGACATGCTGTGGAGTAAGGTATGTCAACAGTGACATTAGCTGCGAGGAAAAGGAGACGAGGCCAAAAGCATATGGTGCTCACTAATCCAGAAAAACACAGGGACATGAGCAGCAAGGACTCCAGCTCCAGCCCACAGAATGTTTCTTGACTGACCTAATCCTGACTGTTCGCCAAAGGGACTGCCCTTGGGCACTATCTTCCATAGGCAATGACACTGAGGGCAGTGGAAGAGGCCGTGAGAGGGACATAAACAATGACCCCATGCCTGAAGCCTTCAACACTTTGAGATGTGCACACTTTATGACCACACTTCTGGGAATGAATGAAGGTTGAGAAAATCATATTTCTCAGAGTTAATATTTCTCTGGAAGTCCCTAACAATTCCAGGCTTCTGCTGGGGCTTCCTTTTCTGATAGTTGTAGACTAGTAACTATGTTATGGCAGAATTACCAGGCAGCGGGAGGACAGACGACCAGGCACTTGGAAGATTAAGAAAAGGCACTTTATTTCTACCCCCAGCATTCTGGTTCAGGGGAATCAGTTCCCAAAGCTGAGCCCCAGCTTTGGTTCTTATTTTCCTTTGATACATTTTCAGGGCTTCCGGGTTTTGCTGGGGAATTACCACTAAGCTGCCATTGCCAGGTGTAGCAAGAAAGATTACACAAGCAGATCTGCGGCTATGGGGTTAAGCAAGAGAGAGAGAACAGAAGGGGACTGTTTTTTTCCTCCTCAACTCAATCTGGATGTCTTGAGAAAGGGAGAGGGAGAGAGAGAGGCGGGGGAGAGAGAGAGAGAGAGAGAGAGAGAGAGAGAGAGAGAGAAACATCAATGTGAGAAAGTGAGAAGGCTAAAAAGGGTTAATTCCAATGTAACCCTGGTATTTTGGGGGCTAGCAATTGGAATCCATGCCAGCAAGCTCAGTGCACATTCCTGATAACCTATAATTAAGCCATTACATTTTCCCAGAAACTGGTCTTGCAGAACCTGTTACAGAGGCCATACAACTATGAATAGTGCACTGCCCTGGCGGATGGGTTATTAACGCTGGCGCCAGGCCACACCATGAGATATGGCCTGGAGACCCCCAACACCTGGGGGCCTTCTTGCAAGGCCCACGAAAAGGACCGGAAGCATAATCCATATTTGTGGGACAAAGACCACAGGGAGATATAAGAAGAAGCCCCCTGCATGTTTCGGTACTCAGATTTGGAAAGTTATTCCCTGAGTCCGCTGGTGTATTAAACAGTGTCCCTCCTTTTCTTTAAAGTGTTGCTTGGTTTTTCTTTGGTCTTCTGCAACATATGAAACAATTGATGGACCAGAGTTCTATCACATAATCCCTTTCTATATTATATTTCCTAAGAATATTCTATGCATTAGTCCTTAACTGGGACCCTTCAGTACATGGAACAATACTCCAATCAAGCCACACCAGGCAGGGCAAGTTTTTCTTGCAAAAGTTAAAATGTGCTTATTCCTAATGTCATAATCTTAGCTTGTTGCATATAACTAAAAACTAACCCATTTAAAGTGCCCAGTTGGTACGGCTTAGTGGCAGAGTGTCAATACAACAATCTTGTATTATGGAAATCTCTAGATCAGATTTATTTTTAATTGCACATAATTAAAACTCCTGACACAATACAGGAATAGTTGCAATGAGTAACAATTATTTTATTTTTTTATTTTTAACAGCTTATTTATTTTTTGTGGATATTTACTCAGCACTGTTAAAAATTACAGCAAAATAACATATACCATAATTTTGAATGCCAAAATCATTAGTATGGTATCTGTCATCACTTTTTTAATATCTCTCAAAAATGGAGAGAAGGTAACATGAAGCGTTT